AAAAAATGCCTTGTATTTAAATTTAAATTTTTGTATTTTAAAACGAAAATCAAATAACCACTCGTTTTCTGTTTTTTAATACCTGTTTCTGAAAGGAAAATCCAATGACCAAAACATACACGGACCGAAACTCCTCACATCCACTTTATATACGGTGCAGCAACGCTCTCTACAGCATGGCAGGATTCAGTCACACGACTAGTGGGCCTACGTGATAACATGATGTGATCACATGACCTCTCGCTAGCATCCTCCTTGCAACAGTTTAGCAGCGCGTTGTGATGGTAGAGAGAAAATGCAAGCATCTCCAGCCCCTGAAGCTACCGGTACGTCAGATGATTTAGTGCCGAGGCGTGGGTCTACCTCTCTGGCATGGAAATGGTTTGGTTTCGGAAAGACTTTCTTAGCGCAGCACTCAGAGCGCTTCAAGTTGAAATCTGTTCAACTTTTAACACCGCTGGACGCTCGGAAAATGAGTTTTTGAGCGCTCTCAGCGCTAAAAAGGCATTTGGTGGACACAAGCCCTAACTCAGACAATTCCAATCACATTTTAAAGGATATCGACTGATTATCGTCATCGCCAAAAACCCAAAAAATAACGAGATATTATTTTTTGCCCATATCGCCCACTCCTAGTCCACAGCTTCTGTATTTCCTCTTGACCTAGAGAAAAAGCAATACATCAGAAATTAAATTTAAAAAATGGTGCAGTACATTATTAATTGTTAAATGTTTTCTAATATCTGGAGAACAAGATTTGTAGGCCAGGAAAGCTGATAGGCAAACAGCAAAGACTAAGAAGGCTGTCCCGCAACAAACTACAATAAAACTCTTTTCTACTTTAAATTAGGCACTGTCAGTATCTTAAAGGGACATTGTGTAGTGTTTTAAGTATTGTATTAGCTAAAATCAATGTCTTCATTCATAAATGTGTCCTCATTGGTGTAAAATTACCTCTGCCAATGATCTGACTTATCCTCGTAAGCAAAGAATTTGTATATACATTGGACGGGCAAGTCCATGGAGGCTTCCATGTCGTTCCGTAATCGCCGAGAGGGACATAAAGCACTAGCCTACCTGTCTAGCTAATCCACAAAGCGTTTTCATTCAGAGCCAGCGTCACGTGACTGAAACCAGCTATAACGGAGAAGGAGATCAGTGAGAGGCGCTTGTCACTGCCCCGGAACATTTGAAAGTCTGCACTGCACTTTAGTTAATAATGGAGGATCATACTTATGCCGAGCCACAGGAGGAGGAATCCTCGCCGCCAAAAAAGCGAAAGGGAATTAAAAAGGTAACGTGACCAGCAAATTCAAAAAACGAGGGTAAACATCGGGGTAGCTTTTCCCAGGTGGAAAGAGCTAATGAAGGAGAAAGACTTTCAAAGGGACACTGAAGTTGCCTGCTTTCTCCTCAACAGGTAGGCTTCTTGGTACGGCTACCGTAGTTGCAATACGCATTTGAAAACGCGAGGCACTAGAGAGCACTATTCGTTTGAATGCAAAATACAATTTCACCGCTAGATGGGAGAAATTCCTACACAGTGTCCCTTTAAGAGAGTTACTAATGTCACTGTCACTGAGTGTTGAAAAATTTAATAATTTTCTGTCTTTGTGGTTTACATTCCATTAAACATATTGTATGTTCTGACAATATTTTAATATGGACTGAGAAGAGAGTCATGTGTCAGCCATGTTTGTCCTCACCTGCTCTATAACGTTACATATACAGTATTTTCACTGACCTCTTCTAGCAAGATTTTATCAACTTAAGTCTAACTATTAACGGAATATAACAATAACCTGAACCCAAGTTGTCGTTAGGTAATGTAGCTACTGCTTATGCTAGGTACATTAATATAGGATATTTAGACTAAAGTAACCTTAGAGCAGTGGCTCTCAATTATTTTGTCATGCAATTTTTTCACACCCCCCCTGAATTTTAATACCATTGTGAACCTGATAATATTTATTTGTGCACTGTATGATCACCTGATTATCAAAATAGATTAATAAAATGAGCTGAGATAACATCTGCAGCAACTTAAAACAATTTCCAAGTTCAGTTTATTAAATCAATGTGTAAAATCTAAACAAACTGCTCAGTCTGCGTGATTCTCAAAACAGAGAAAAAAGCAAATGACTCACTGGGATGTGCATTTTTATAGACTTAACACAGTAACATTCAAAACTTTTTTTTTTTTTTTAAGTATATTTTTAGGGCTTTTATTGCCTTTATTATAGTTGACAGCTGAAGACAGACAGGAAAGGGGGGCAGAGAGAGGGGATGACACGTAGCAAAGGGCCGCAGATCAGATTCAAACCCTGGGCTGCTGCAGTAAGGACTCAGCCTTGGTACATGGGTCGCCAGCCCTACCCACTGAGCTAATCGGGCGTCCCAAAACTTTTTTTAACTGTAAACACTGGTCACCCTTCAACTTCATCAGCTTATTACTTTTCAAAAAGGTATATGAGTTTTTAACGTTTGTTTTTTTTTGTGCAAAATTTGCAACGATATTGCTTACATTCAACGTTTGTCTGTTAGATGTTCTGTGAGTTGTTCTCGGAAGTCGTCTGAAATGTCAAATATACGTATCATATAAGAGAGACAGTATTCAGTGTCTCAGCACTTTTCTCACCTATGAGCAATGCTGCCAGAGTGTTAGTTCCTCTGCTATTGTGTAAGGTTTTTTACACCTTGCGATGTGGCGGTGTTTGTACGAGGCGTTTTTATTTACTGATGCCGCGCTCACAAAATGACCGGCCTGCTGGCGATGCGCATCGAGTTTTAGATGAAAAAAGTCCAGTGGCTTATTGACTGAAGGTCCCCAGGTGCCGTCTTGATTTGTTTGGTTTCATGCTGTCATTTCCGACCATATTCATGGTAAACCTACACATAGACTGTTGCTTAGCAAACTAACATCTGGGATTTAGTAACTTCAAGTTAAGTTACCAATAACACTACGTTCTTTTTATCTTAATCTTTTCTGGGAGCCCTGGTTGCCAAAGTGTTTCTGTAAAGACTGCCGCAATCCTCCAGTTTGTCCTTATGTAACGTAAGCTGCTTGGGCAGCGGAGGCGATCTCACTTTCCACGGTGCTGTGAGTAATGTTAGGCGCAGATGAGCTTGTTCCCTGCCGCTCAAGGGACGAGGACAATGATATGACCATTTAAAGTGATGATAAAATATTTCCTTATATCCAAATGGCTTGCTGCCCTATACCTTCCATGTTAATCGCGACCTGGACATGACCCTGCTCCACCTTCTCAACTAATCACAGCGCGATAAAATGACCTGCCTTCTGTTTCCACTATACTCCTTCCGTTTCTACTATACTTTGTCTCAAACAAATTGTACATATATTCTTTTCTTACATACATATATTTTCCTCTTACATACATATATTATTTGTAATAGATGTATACATTGATTGCATATACATGAGAAAAAAAATTATAAATGTGTGAGTGAAAATATATGAATGTGAGAGTAAAAATTTATGAATGTGTGAGTGAAAATATATGTGAGAGTAAAAATTTATGAATATGTGAGTGAAAATATATGAATGCGAAAGTAAAAATATATGAATGTGCAAGGGAAAATATATGAATATGAGAGTGAATATATGTATGTGAAAGGAGAATGTATGTATGTGAGAGTGGATATAAATGTATGTGAAAGGAGACTGTGTGTGTGTGAGAGGGCCAGAATGTATTATATCTTGTACGGCCCCTCATACAGAAGTCTTTTTCAGTGGGAGTTTATAGATTTTCTTTGCTTTTAGTATTCTCCTGCAATGTGTTCTACTCCCACAGGTCACGTGTAGATTGTTGGAAATCCAACCATCTTGCCTTAAAGCCTTCTCTCCTCAAAGATCTTCTTTACATCCAAGTGAAAGACAGGACATCTGCATAATGCTATGCATGCTTCAGATCACAGGCCTTTTTGCAGAAAGGCAGAAAGCATTGCCATGGAACTTCTGCTAATTGTAATTATCACTGAGGTCAGCAGGATTATTGCCCCATGTAAAGTTGGCCTATAAATTTCAGCTGGAGGGCAAATTCTCTTTTTGATAGTTGACAAGCCAATTTTGATGAATGAGCATTTATGTAAAATCCAAATTAAAGAAACATTTATAATTTCAAAATGGATTAACTTGATAGCTTTAGATCAGCGACCTCTGTAGATGACCCTGACAAAGTTTCAGGACAGTTGTCAGAACTGTTTATTCAGGTAAGTTGGGGTGCACCCTTTGGGTATGGTAAATGGTAAATTAACTGTATTTGTATAGCGCCCTCCAACCACTCAAAGCGTTTTAACACTATGTGCCACATTCGCCCTTTCAGACACATTCACACAGTGATGGCAAAGTCCATCGAACAGAAACTAACTCATTCGTTCACATTCACACATTGATGACGTAGCAGCAGGAGCAATTTGGGGACATGCAGCAGGGAGAAGCCAGGGATCAAACTAACAACGTTCCTATTAGAGGCTGTGGTTCATTCTGGTGAGCAGTTGGCCCCTTGCATGGCAGCCACTGCCATAAGTGCATGAATGTGTGTGAATGGCATGAGTGTGGCATGTAGTGTACAGCACATTGTGGTCAAAAGACAAGAAAAGGCGCTATATAAGTACAGTCTGTTTACCGTTTACCATTAGCTCTACCTCTGAGCCTAGCCGGTATGTGTGCTCAATCTGGTACCAATCCACTGACATGTTCCTACCACAACTTAGAATTCATCTGCCTGTTTCCGTAGTTCTGTAGATTCCAGGTTCCAGAAGGACCAAGATATTCAGATTACTTAATACTGACCACATAATTAAAACTCAATAAACAGCATAAGCTACAAGCCTTACTTTCAGGGAAAGTGTGTTTATGAATCCAATCCAGAGCCAGAGCCTTCAGTTACCAAGCTCCTCTCCTGTGGAACCAGCTTCCAGTTGTGGTTCGGGAGGCAGACACCCTCTCCAAATTTAAGAGTAGGCTTAAGACGTTCCTCTTTGATAAATCTTATAGTTAGGGCTGGATCAGGTGAGTCCTGAACCATCCCTTAGTTATGCTGCTATAGGCCTAAACTATCGGGGGATTTCCCATGATGCACTGAGCTCTTCTCTTCCTCTCTCTCTCTCTTTCTGCACTCCCCCGTCGCCAAGTGCTTGCTCATGGTGGTACTGTTGGGTCTCTGTAAATAATGTTAGAAGGAGTTTAAATAATGTTATAAGGAGTAATGTTATACGGTCTAGACCTGCTCTATTTGAAAAGTGTCCTGAGATAACTTCTGTTATGAATTGGCGCTATACAAATAAAATTGAATTGAATTGAATGGGCCGGTAACATGTGTTCCAGCTAATATATATGCAGACTAACAATTTATTGCCGCTTTCTAATATGGAGGGATCTTTGTTGTTTGTCAAATTGAAGCTAACCCATATGGGTCATTATGAATATCAGTTTGTGGACACTCTGCACGTAGGGAACGCACTGCAATATTTAAAACGTTCAAATATTCATTATAAAGATGTAGAGTTTAATGAAGCCTGGCTAAATGAACTTTGTAGAGAAGAAGATAATGGGGTTTTAGGAAAGGGCAGTGATAGTAAGGTAGTAAGTGGTGAAGCTTCTATAGATGTAGGTGAAGATGAGCTTTTGCACGATAGACAGCAGCATTGTATGTTCCAGGATACTTGTCTAATGCCTGTTGATATTGGTCAGGAAGCACTGGATCAGTATTTTGATAATGTTTTGAATCTGGCTCCAGCAGAAGGGAATAATCCTATGAGACTGTTGTCACATAATACAAATTAAGCCAAGTGCTTCCCTGTGTTGTTTCTGCAGGGGTGTAATACATATCTTGAACTTAGGGAGCATCGATTGACATTGTCGCGTTATTTTAATAATAGGATTTTACACGCTGATGGCACAAAATGTTGAATATCATATAATATAATATCTTTTTTGCTCAGTACACGTATGAGATTCAACAGGTTGTGTCAAATGTATTGATAGCCTTACGGAAAGGGTAAGGAGGTAATACTTCCCAAAAAGTAAATGATTTGTTGAATAATGAGGATTCATTAAAGAAGTTATTGGAATTTGATGATAGGTATCGTTTCCTTAAACCTATTAGAGGTACCCCATCATTTTGGCAGGGAGCGCGGCGTGATTTGCTAGCTTGTGTTCGTCAGCTTGGCATCACTGGTGGAAAAATCTTCTTAATAGTATTTTGAAACAGGAAGGTAGGACAGAGACAGTTGCACACTTAAAGTGGGCAGATAGGTGTGATTTGTTGCGGCCTAATCCTGTCACTTCTGCCAGAATGTTCGCTGGCATTGTTTTTTGAAAGAGGTAGTTCATCATTCTCCATCTCATCCGAGTGGTAAAATTAAGGACTTCTTTTTGTGGTGGAAGTTTGACCGAATAAAGGAAAACCAAGAAAGAGGAATTTGTTTTTGTACATTTATTTAGCTTCTGCGCAGAAGGACCAAAACCAGCAAAGCGACAGTCAGGGACAGTCAGCGACTGCCGAGGAATCGATGCTGTATGCATTGTCACCAGGGTTTTTATATGCATAAGAACAAAGAGTCAATAGTTACATTTAATGGAAGGATAGATATCAATGATTGATTAAAGGCATTTCCAAATGAAGACACACTCTTGTCACAGACCAAAATAAAAAAAATGGTTTGATGTGCAGGCTAGGCTATATTTCAACCTTACATCATTTAGCACATAAATGTTGTCATTGTATTCAGAAAGTCAGTTCATTTACAGTATCAGTAGTTTGGGTACAGTTCAGCCAGAAATGGAGCCAGTCATGCTTTCTACAGAACAGTATAATACAGAGAATCACTGTTCATACAAAGGTTATTCACTAAATGATCATTTTTCCTCTACACTTTTATAGCATGGAATTCCAGCAGCACTGTTCACCTCATGTACATGGCCTGTTTTGGATTGAAAATGCTCCATTGATTGATAAAAACACAGATGAAGAGGTGATTCAGTTTATCGTGAATATATAACGTGAATTACCGTCACATGATGATACATTATTGGACATTGTTAAATCTGTGCAGCAACATTCAAAGTGGCATTCCAAAACTTGCAAAAAGAAAAACACATTTTGTCGTTTTAATTTCCAAGGCCAGCATCTGCTTGAACTTTTATATGTCGCGACAAAAGTGATTGTCACAGTCTGCCTTCCTCATCACCTGTTCAACTCAGCCATCTCAGTACCTTTCCACTAACCTGCCCCTGCTCCTCTTCATCAGCCACTCTGCTCACCTGTGCACACAAGCTGCTCCTGATCACCAGTCAAGCCAGTATATACTTCTCCTCACCAGTCACTTGTTGCCATATCGTGTAGATGCACAGCTTAAACCTCAGAACTGTGAAACATTTTAAAAGAGTGATTTTGAGGTTTAGTGATGGATCGAGACATTCTGTCAAGTCAGTTGTGGATTTGAACAGAAGCAGGTTTGAAATTGAAGCAGATTAATTGGATAACATTCAAAAATTATTGATACTAGTGGTGTTATGGAAGATGCCGTGTCCAGAGTTAGAGCGTTTACAGTGTGATCAGGAACTGATAGTGGAAGAACATGAGGACAATATTCCAGATATATATATAATGTCCAGGAGTGATGGTTTGGCTTTGATTAGATCTCTGGATGAGACACAGCTCTCTATTTTCTATCAGATTTGACAGTGGTGCTTAGATAAGATGATGGGGAAAACGCCAGCTCCATTGCATGTCTTTATTACAGGTGGAGCAGGCAAAGGCCATTCAATATGAGTCAACCAGGTTATTGTCAACAGTTTGTCATCATCTGGACAGTATTTGTGTTTTGTTAACGGCTGCTACAGGGATTGCTGCATGCAAATTTACATGCCAATACTGTTACTGTCTCTCTCTCTCACCCCAACTGGTCGAGACAGACAACCACCCACCTAGAACCGAAGGATCTGTCCTAGGTTTCTGCCTTTTAACAGGCAGTTTTTCCTTGCCCTTGTCGCCAAGTGCTTGCTCATGGTGGTACTGTTGGGTCTCTGTAAATACTGTTATAAAGAGTTCCATCTAGACCTTCTCTATTTGAAAAGTGTCCTGAGATAACTTCTGTTATGAATTGGTGCTATACATATAAAATTGAATTACCGATGTCACATCAGCGCTGCCACCAAAGCAGAGCTCAAGCGGGGCTACAACGTAACCATGGCTGTCATACCTGGAGGTTGTACAAAATACAACCAGGCCCCTGATGTCATGTGGAATCAACTGTTCAAAGCCAGTCTACATGAATCGTATGACAACTGGATGGCAGGGGATTCGGACAAGGTATACACCACAGGTGGGAATATGAGAGCCCCAGCTTGTCGCTTACTCGTAGCCTTGGTCCTTAAAGCGTGGGACAAGCTAGATGCGGAGCTGGTGGAAAAACTCCTTCAAGGTGTGTGTGTGTGTGTGTGTGTGTGTGTGTGTGTGTATATGTGTGTGTGCGCATTTCTGTTTGTGTGTACTTGTAAGATGATTTAACAGAATATTGTTCTTTAAGGTGTGTGGCTTGACAGTGGCTGCTGATGGTAGCGAGGACCACTTGATCCACTATTTCAAAGAGGGAGAGCCATGTGCATCAGGGCGGGAGCTGTTATCTCAGGCAAGACAGGGTTGAAGTCGGAGAGGGAGAGGAGGGCGATGACGAGGAGTTTAACAACAAACTGGTAGTTGAGGATGATGAGGAGGACATTTAAACTTTGTCACACAGTAGCCTTTATTAATGATTTTCTTTGTTTAATTTTGATGTGTTCCCACAACTATGGTTAAACCTTCAGCTTTCATTCTTTCTAAGGTGTTGAGCCTGTTTAGCCTCTGCAAAATCCGATCAAATGTTAAAACAACAAGGTGATGCTCGCCGCGTCGCTACGGCAACACGGTTCAATAAAAATTCGGAAGATGCCATTGTCAACATTCTAAAGGTCTTCTGACCAAATGTCAGCTTGATGTGGTCAATCTGTTAGGATAAATACATACAAGTATTTCCGATTGCCACAAGGTGACGCTACCACTTTTACAGAATTGTATCACATAGATGTGTTCAGTACGAGACTCTTATCAGAAAAGTGAAGTTTGGGGCTGATTGGGCCGTGTACACTCAAGTTATAGCAAATTAATGCGTTCTGGCAGTACATCACGCCCTTCAACAATAACCATATTCATCTCATATCACAAAACAACATGTTTTCCGTCTTCTGACCAAATTTCAGCTGAATCTTCCTACAAGGAACAGAACATGATAGTATAAAACACAACATTTCCTGTTGCCAGTGGGGGGCGCTATGAGTATGACTGACTGAATATTGTCATGTAGACGTGTTCAGGGTGGGATTCTTATCAAACGTGAAGTTTCATTGAGATTGGACCATGTACGCTGAAGTTGTGACAACTTCCTGTTTCATGGCAAAACGTCAAACTTTGGCGCCACGGCAGAGAAACCCCATTCGGATTCAACTCACAGCAGCATGATTTTTTTTTTTGTAATATGAATAGGAAATTTCACATCAATTGACAAGTACAAATAGATTTACAGTTGTTAACATCAAAATTGTACAGAACCAAGGGTTTTGTATCAATAGTTTCTTGTTCCAAATGTCCATTGTCCATTCCCTTTTAATAATATGTATATGTAAAGAAAAAAAGCATACAATTTATCCAGAGGGGTATACAAGCAAAAAGTAAATAGATAAAATGAATAAATAAAGAGAAATGTCTGTAGCAGTTTGGCATCGTTCAGTTGTGTTCACATCACTGAGATACATTGGGAAACCCCCCCCAAAAAATAAATCAAATAAAAAGTGGACGTTCCTTCAGCTTGTTACCTTGACAAAATCTGGTCTTAAAGGTCTGATGAATTGTACCCACTTTTCCCAGTGTTTCATGAATACGTCTAACTTTAGGTTGAGAGAAAAAGTAACCTTTTCCATAGTATATATATCTATTGTCACATCTATCCAATTATTAATTGTAGGTCCAGTCT